CTAAAACTAACATTGTTAAGACACAAAATGGACATTTCTCTTTTGTTTGTGAGTAATAATAGTGGCACTACATTTTTTCTTATTGGTTTGGATTTTGTGATAGTAATTTTTACTAATTTATAATATATTTACTGATGTATTGCTTTTAGCAGGAATCCTTGCGCTGAGTTTTTTGCTGAGTATTCTTTTAGCACTTCTTATGATTATTTAACGTCTGATTGTCCAAATTATATCTTAGTTGTTGTATGTCTAAGGAAGGGACTTCAATGAGTTTTTTGTTAACGTTCAAGTTTAATGGCGACATGGAATCTGCAGAACATAACAGCCCTGGCTCTACTTATAGTTTTCCCCAGCTGTTACCTTTTGGTAAAACTGCACACCCTGATTTCCAAGACAGTGGTAAAGGACATCGAAAATCTATTTTCCACCTTCTCCACTCACTTTTTAAACTTGAGATTGAAGCAACTTATATATCTTTGCTGCATTCAATGTTATTGCTATTAATATCACTAAAATCTTCAAAGTATTCACAAGGACTACTTCTGTGAGGCAATTTTCTTCCATGATGTATTACCCCTAACGAAAAGGTTTTTCGTGCAGATCACCAATAGTGAGATCTGGCGAAACTCCTGTGTGAAATCACAGATGATTGGCTTTAATTTCCAATCCCCAAATTTTTGGTGTCCTTGAACTCATCCACTTATCAAATTCCTAAACTCAAGAATAGAACTAATAAGAACAACAACCAGTGAAGCGGCCAATTGCAGTTGGTTATGGTACAGTTGTTTAACCAGGGGTCATCTGAAAGTAAGAGCACAACCACCTGTTGATTCACCTGTATGCATTCATATAATTTTTTGAACAGCTCATAAACATCTCCATTTCGAAGGTTTGACTCTCTGAAGATGTTCATCCTCTTTTATGTCTCGTGACGATACAATCTTTTAGTATTTTAAAATGTAATTCTCAAATTTTCCACAACCACAAATTATGACTGTTTGTTTATATAATTTTTTAACACGTTATTTGAAATTGTGAATTCTTGGATTTCTCTTCTATTATTTATAATTTTCTTGATTATGCTGTCTATCGAACTAACGGACTTTATCAGGAACACGGATGCCTATTCTGTCTGGAAAACCACAACGTTCGAAGTTTACCTGTCCTTATTCAGAATGTTTCTGTTTTAAAAGCGAGAGTATTTTATGTTTTTAGTATATATTAATAATCTTTACATCCTTAATGTCTATAATCATTGTGGCAATTTAATTTATGATATCCACGATTCACTTGTTCTTCTTACTGATGCTTTCACTTGAACTTGTGAGAATTTTGACTTCTATTATATGCTTGGGAAATCCTCTCATTCTGGTTATAATGGTTTACTAGTGAAAGCGTTTTCGAAGAAAGAGATGTAGTTATTTTAAATTATGAAATTCACATTTGTTTCCACCCATATTCAGGTAAGCCATCCATACTTGATCTTACCCTTATTCCAGCCACTACCTGTGTCAATGACTGTTCCAGTCATATCGGATTAAATACGCTAAACTAAAGCTTCTTATATCTCCTTCATGCTCCCCAGTGGCACAGACTTATACTGCTAGAAACTGGGTTTCGACACCCGTGATGGGCAGAGTACAGATAGCCCTCTGTTGTAGCTTTGTGCTTAATAACAAACAACAACATCTCCCTCATTAATTTCCTTTAACCTTTTCTTATGTAAAATTTGTGACTCAGACATGATTTTTAATGGTATATTTCAATTGCTATATATATATAGTTATTCTAATATAAGTAGTTTTTATATCTCTGTCAACAAAATATTTAGTTTATGTATAATATGCAAGCATACCACGTGTTTTTTACCTGCTTAAATAAAGTTTATAAAATTACTTTACTTATTGAACATGTATTCTTAAAATAAAAAGTCAGTCAAGGGAACCACTAAGTTACTCCCACTATACTCTATTATAATGTAGAACATAATTGTCAGAGCTTAAAATATAATTCTTTCGCCAATTATCAAAATAAAAGGCTTTTACTTAAACTTCTTAAAGTATAAATATATACTGTGTTGTTGTTGGGTCTAGGATTCTTCTGCAGTAGGTGTTTGTGACTTATTGGCGATAAATGAACAGTACGCACTTCACTTGTTTTCAACTTAATATATATATATTCGGAACAAGTTAAACGTATGTACAACAAATTCTTCACACTATAGAGATTATGGGCATATCATAGACATTATATATATATATATAGTTCTCTTCTTGTTGTCAAAAGTCCTACTTAGGCCTATTCAGTTACTTTAGAATCTTAGTTGACAAGCCGAACTATCTTCTCTATTATTATCGCACTAGTATTCTGTGTGTTATTCACTTATAATTGTGGCGCGAGTTACCGTAAACGTTTGGTATTTTTTTTCTTCTACGCCCGGCATGGCCAGGTGGTGAAGGCACTCGACTCGCGTGCGGGTCGCGGGTTCGAAGCCCTGTCACACCAAACATGCTCGCCCTTTCAGTCGTGGGGGCGTTATAATGTGACGGTC